CCGTAGATGGTACGCAACACGTCAACTTCGTGCGGTGGCGTCCTCCGGAGTCCAAAGTAGACACAATTCCCTGCCATAATGCGCATTTGAATTTCTCTGCTGGTATCGTTTTCGGTGGTCACCAGTGAGCCCAAATACACGAACTCATCGACCACCTCGATTTCGTCACCGTCAATCTGAACTCGAGGTGGTAGGTTAACATTATCTTCCCTAGAACCTCTTCCTCTCATGTATTTCGTCTTCGATGCGTTGATGGCAAGTCCAATGCGCTTTGCTTCAGCCTTCAGTCTGATGTACGTTTCCACCATCGTCTCAAAGTTCCGTGCCATGATGTCGATGTCATCGGCGAAGCCAAGAAGCTGGATGGACTTCCTGAAGATCGTGCCACTCGTGTCTATGCCAGCTCTTATGATCACACTTTCTAACGCGATGTTGAATAGCAGACACGAAAGTCCATCGTCTTGCCGTAGCCCCTTTCGAGATTCAAAGGGACTCGAGAGTGTCTCCGATACTCGAACAACGCACATCACACGATCCATCGTCGCCTTGACCAATTGCGTCAGTTTATCCGGAAATCCATATTCGTGCATAATCTGCCATAGCTGAACTCGATCGAAAGCGATGAACAAATGATGTGTTGGCACGTTGTATTCGCGGCATTTCTGCAGAATCTGCCAAATCGCAAAAATTTGGTCCGTGGTAGCACGGGCACCCATGAATCATGCCTGCATTGCCCCACGAACTTTCTTGCAAATGGTGACAGGCGGTGGCATAGAACTTGGGAGAGTACCTTGTAGGCGGCAGCACAGCAGTGTGATAGCGTGGTAGTTGCAGTAATCAAACTTGTCGACCTTTTGGTACATTGGGCATACGACACCTTCCATCCACTCCTCCGGTAATATGTCCTCCTCCAAAACCTTGGCAATTACCCAGTGCGCTCTGGCCAGTGCGCTCTGGCCAGTGCTTCACCACCGTATTTTAATAGTTCGCTTGGTAGTTGATCTACACCAGTTGCTTTGTTGTTCTGCAGCCTCAACTTCTTGAAGATCAGGGGCCGAAACCTGTCGTCTTCTGCGCGTGCTCCAAGGTATGTTGCTGTGCCACCTTCGTTTTCTGCTGAATCACCGTTGAGGTGCTCGTCATAGTACTGCTTGTACCTCTCAATCACCTCACACTCGTTCGTGAGAAGGTTACCGTACAAGTCCTTGCACATAACGGCTTGCGGCACGTAGCCTTTGCGCGAACTAATTAGCTTCTCGTAGAACTTCCGTGTCTACTAACTAACAGTTTGCATTCGCCATCAAACCAGTCATTTTTTCGGTCCGGAATCGCAGTACCTAGTGCCACTGCAGCAGTACTACCTATGGCGGAACGGATGTCCCTTGAGCCATTTTCAAGAGTAGTTGCGCCAAGCTGCTCTTGCGTGGGTATTGCAACTTCCAGCTGCTGCGCATTATCCTGGGCATCTGCTGGCGTCCCATCATTGCTCAATGTTGGGTCACGGCGTTCGACTTCGACGGGTGATATGCACCGTCGAGAGTTTTGAGCGCATGTATACTTCAACTAGGTAGTGATCCGGTGGTATGTTGAGGTGTGATATTCAAAAAAAATTTGCTCAATAGGCGTAGTTGGATAATCCCTTCCACCCCCAATAAAAGTATTAAGTTACAGAGTCAAATAATTTTAGTCGAATTTTGCTCGTTGGACTATCTTTAAGTGGGCTACGTTTTAGTTCGGCTGTTGTAGTCCACCTAAATCAAAGTTTGCCGTTGCATCATTTCTGGCAATGCTGATTACTTTTCGAAATTTCAACCGACTTCATGCGAAAACCGGCTAATGAGTGGTGTTCAGTCCGCATCGCAACGAACTGAATAAGGAAAAGATTTGCAGCATTGGCCACGCCCTGATAAGGAAGATCACCAGCAACTCGACGACGAGAGAACGAACAACGACAACAGTAGCGAGCGAGCAGTATCAGCAAAATACAAAATACAACAGAGTAGGAAAGAAGAAGGTGAGCCGAGAACGGCTGAAGAAAAACACTTTGTACCGAGAAGAAGAAGATAATATAAGATGGAGTGAAATTTATGGTGTGTGTGAGCTTCTTTGTCTCCAGCCGAAAGTCCCTCGTTTCACCAAGCTGTAGAGATTGTGTGCAGCCCTATGAAAGAGTTAGAACATCCGCATTGATTAGTTGGTGGCTGACTGCAATGAAGGCAGTTCCTGGTTGATTGTTAATCAACAAAGCTTGGTTAGATTCCACTTGGGGAATCAGCATCACTTCTCTCCGCTGCATGAAGGCAGCTTTGGTTTAACGGCAGTTTTACAGTCCACTGCAATACGACGCAACAAGTGAAGTAATAATACAGGATATATCAATGCGAAACGACGAATTGTTCCTTGACGGTTGTCAACGATGTTGGCTGAACGAGGGGTGCAGCTAATATCTGACTTCAACAAGAAACCCACCCGAGACCCAGTTCGTCAGCTATATTTTCTTCAGGTGATCGAGCAACATCAAAAATAGTACCCTAAGAAATCGTAGAATATATTACACTCATATATAATCATTACAATCTATGACATTTGTGTGAAAACATCTGACAAAGTATATAACATCAAAAAAGTAGGGAAGGAACCTGTAGCAGTTAGGACCCCCCCCCCCCCCCCCAATCAAACTACGCCTATTAGGTTGAGCTAATATGTTTGAATAACACATATGAATACCAATTCAATAATATGAGAAACACCGAAGCTATTTCACTTTGAAAATTTACTTCCTTTCAAATGAGTAAAGGAGGTGTAGTAAACCCCCCCTCCAACTACGCATATGAGATAGAGAATTTTTGAATAATTCATTTTCATATACCAAATCGATAAGATAAGAAACTTCGAAATTATTTCAGTTTAGAGTCTGAATTCTCTTGGTGCACCGGCAGTGTTGGCAGAAAAAGTGATTTTTGACATTTAATTCAAACCATTAAAATTTTAACAGTTATAACTTTTCTAGAGACATTCTAGCACCGGACTTTCTTCGGCAAAGTTGTTTGGCACTTTCTGGACTATATTTGTACATTAATTGCATGATTTAAAATTGTGGTCTCTATGCATCAAAATGCGAAAAAAAAGAGGTTTTCCCTACTAATTTCCATACAAATTTCAATCGCAATGCGTAAAACCAGGTTACAACCAATCGTCACCATATTTTGTACAGTTGTTCGAGACCCCAAATGGATCCAAAAAAGGGTTGTTCCCGTTTGATGAAGTCAAGTTTGCGTGTTTCCACATAACGGTGACCCGTTATGTGGACACGAAAAACGTCAGATAAGTCTATTGGCATGATTTTTCGTTAGGGACTCTTCAACCCTTACGTGCACTTATAAATCTAATCAATTCAGTAAACGAAATTACTCAGATATTAACTGTATCCACCACAGCACCCTCGTGTTTCTTTTCCTCAGTTCCGTCCTATCAAGTTTGTAGCCCATAACCTTTAAGAAACCACGAGTATTTAGCACCCTTCAACTGACTTTAGTTTTGAAAAACTTAGTAAAATGCAATCATTATCACGACCCCGCAAAGCTACCACAATTGAGTCTTGATAAATAAACTAAATTTTTGGCGATTTAAGATATACATATTTGTAGAGTAATTGTTCGTGTTACCCTTTGTGATTCCATAAATAAAATATTAAGGTTTTTGATAAGTTACGAAACTCTGGTTATTTGCTGCGGAGAAGCTAGCAATGACTGAAATTTACAGATCACTAGAATCTGCACGAAAACACCTGAAAGGCCAATTCGAACTTGTTAGCATTGCATTATTCAATGCGATTAAGGTTTTTTTTTTGAGATTTTAAGATTTTCTTTCGATTAATAACTTTTTTAAATTTGTTTAGATGATTTCAAATAATTTTATAGAATTTCAGCCACTTGATGTTCTTTTGGTGACTGTAAGCCCATTTTGGCATTTTCATACAACCATTATGAATTTTCGTAAGGCAAGTTATCGTAACATGAAAATATACTGTCCATCTTATTCGATGCTGATCCAATTACAAAATAATCCATCCAAAATTATACAGAAGTTCAAAGCTGCAATAATGGAACATTCCTGACAGAACATTTTCCTATACACAAAATTACCACCCGCTGCTGTCAATCAAAAAGTGCCCAGATAACACTTGACCGCCGGTCAATAAAAACTCTCCAACTACGTGACTGGATCAATATGGAAGCAAGTGGTAATTAACGCGACACCAACCAGACTCTACGTACCAGACACCCCTTGGAGCGCTCCATTCAGTTGACGGCCTCCCATTGCTTTGGTGATAATAAAGCCAAGAACATCCAAAAACGGTCAACCGCTGTCAGTTTCACGAAGGCAAAGATGATGACACTTACTGCCTTTAGTTAAAGAGCTAATTACTTTTTATCGTTTTTAACTTTCCGTCCGCGCGTTTACTTTATTTCTTAGTAAAATTAACCGCGCATCACTACTGTGGTGATAACTCAACAGGGGCACGTGTCGCCCAAGCAACCGAACCGGACGGTCGGTTGAATTCGGCAAGAGATACCGACCATTATTCAACCGCTTGGCAAATAGCCTGTCAATCACAATCAGCCCAACCAGAATCGGTGAAGAAGAACCGTAGGTATCTTGATAAGAAATTTAATTGCTTGGAGATTGCTGATATCGCTGAAAGATCTCACTCTCGCACTCTCGTCTTGCAACTGCTATATGTAATGCGGAGAGTGGAGCGTGAGCTACCCGACTTCGGCGGCAAACCGAATCCATTTTCGCTCCGAAAGTGAGAGTGTTTCGTTTTCCACGTGCTTCTGCCCCACATAGGTATACATCACCTTTTGTTGTGATACACAGAGAGGCGTCGTTGTTGTTGACCTACATTAGCAAATGAAGCGGTGCGACATAGTCGACCGGAGATGACTATCTCGTCGCACGAGGCACCCTGACCAGCCTTAACAATGAAATAAGAATCAATGCTTTTCAGTCGTCCAATTGTATTGCACTTCAATAAACTATATTGGCGTTAACAAGGATAATTTACAACAATGTGGATAGAAGGTTCAACCCGCTCACTGCTATGACCAGAACGGAGGAAAGTACTATCGTAACACCGGCACCACGATCAGCCTTCTCGTTCTCCTTCTTTAGGAACTCGTACAACGGAGCGTAGTACTCCAGTAGGGCGTCAGTTTTCAGTTCGGTTTCACCGGTCATCGCACGCAACGCTTCGGACCAATGGACGGTACGTCCCAACGAAAGACCCGCCCGCAATCGATCACCGGCAGCCAATGATCCATCAATATCGCACTTGTGTAGAGGTTTGTCCGGGTTGTTCGGTTCGTACTCGTCGGCCACCTGACAAAGTGATTTGTGTAACTGCAGGTCCAGGATGTGGGCAATGAAGTAGCTAGAGTTTAGAAACGATTGTTTAATTGAAATGTTCCCTAATACTTTGCAGAACTTACGAAATGTATTTACTGTCATACGGAATATGATATTTCGCTCCCGCATCTAACGCATCCAAGTCTCGCTCTACCGGAGCCGAAACCTTCTGGTACTCTTCTCTCAATTCCCACCATCGTTTGTTCCAGTTGGGGAAGTCCACCTTGCCAGCAAATATCTCCCAACGCCACATATCGATCATCAGTCCAAATGGCAAGAATGCCACCCGATCTAGTGCCTTTTGGAACAAGGCGTTGATATTGTTCTCGTAGGAATCTTCATAGTCTTCCAGCAAGCCAATCTTTTGGAAGTGTTTCGGTGTCGCTACGGACAAGGCAATCGTGTCTCCTACAGCTTCGTGGAAACCCGGATTGGCTCCAGCTCGCAGCGTTACCGGTTGGTCCTTGTACAAGAGGTAGTAGTTGATGTGACCCATCTCGTGGTGGATCGTAATGAAGTCCTCCATGTTCATCCGGGTACACATCTTGATGCGGAAGTCCTGACGATCGCAGAAATCCCATGCCGAAGCATGGCACGTTACTACACGATCCGTCGGTTTCTCAATCAGCGCTCCACGACTCTCGTCGTAGCTCATGCTATTATCCGGAAGTCCCAGGCCCACGTAGAAGTCGTTGGATATTTCAAACAGCTGCTTCACTGTGTAATTCTTTTCTACCAAAGCCTTTGTAATGTCCAAATCGATGGCGGTTTTGAAAGGTTTGATGCGGTTGTACAAATTACCCCAAGCCTGTGCCCACATATTACCCAGCAAATGAGCTGGTATGTTTGGATCATTAGCGTCCATCTTGTCTCCATGGATCTTCATAAGCTCCCGACGGACATACTTATGCAGCTCATCGTAGAACGGCTTCAGCTGAGTCCACAAGCGTTTCATCGCTTCAACAAAGTCCTCCTGCTCAAAGGCGTTCCTCCAGAGACCTCCCATGTCATCGTATCCGGCGATTCCAGCAGCCTTATTCATCAAATGCACGTACTGCGCGTAATCGTTTTTCATAAGGCGCCCCGTTTTATCACGCCACTCTTTCCACACGTACAACAGCTCGTCATAATCCTGAGACTCTCCCATCACTTCGTACAGGTCCGGATCCAAGCTCAAGCTACCCTCCGTGCAGTTTTGCTTGTCATACGGGCAAATCAAAGTACTGCTGTAAATATGCTGCATTCTGCCAAGAGCGTTGTTCAGCTGTAATTGAAATACCAATCAACACTAAACCCTTTCCCAGGATATTCAATCAAACTTACCTCAGTGAAGTCCTCGGATGGAAGGTGATTGATCGAAATCTGCGTCAAATACTGCAGCTGTCGTTGAATTTCCGGTTTATCGTAATCCGCTGCTTTCACATCAGCAAAGTATTGATTGTAGTTGTCCAAAACAAACTTGGTATTTTGGGTCAAAATCTCTGTCAGTTCCTGCAGCAAGGTGTAGTTTCCAACGTCAACTTGCGTAGCGTACTGCGCCTTGACCTGCTTATTACAGGCAACCGAGTACTCTTGACTGTAGTTTTCCAAAAGCGATTCCATCTCCGCATTTCGCATCTTCTTGTTCTCCACTTTCAAAAAGTCATGTAACGGTGCAAAATACTCCAGCAGGGCATTTCCGCTAATATCTTGACCTCCGCTCAACTTCTCCAGAGCAAATTTCCAATCTTCACTGTACCCTAGCGATAGACCATCCCTTAGCTTGTTGCCCGCGGCCTTGCTGTTGTAAAAATCACACTTATGCAACGGATTAGTCGAACTGTAGGTCGGATCATACTCTCCGGCTTCGATACAGAGCGACCGGTAGAACTGGAACTCCAGGATGTGGGCCAGGAAGTACGCAATGTACTGCGAGTTTGCCGGAACATGATACTTAGCACCTGGATCGAAGTCGTCCTCAGACCGAGGCACTGGAGCGTATACTTTCTGATATTTTTCCCTCAGAGTCCACCAGTGAGAATTCCATTGGCTTTCGTTAACTGCCCCACTGAACACATCCCAACGCCACTGATCAATCATGTAACCAAACGGCAAGAAGGCGACTCGCTTCAAAGCCATTTCAAAGAGTGCATTGATGTTATCCGCTTCACTGTCCGCATATTCGTCAAGCAGACCAACCTTTTGCAGATGCATCGGTGTCGCTACGGACAAAGCGATCGTATCACCGACAGCTTCGTGGAATGCCGGAGTTGCTCCCGTCTTGAATAGCAGCGGTTGATCCTTGTACAGAATGTAGTACATGATGTGACCCATCTCGTGGTGTACGGTTACAAAGTCTTCCATGTTGACGTTGGTACACATCTTGATGCGGAAGTCTTCACCGTCGCAAAAGTCCCACGCCGAAGCGTGACAGACCATCTTCTGTGGTTGCTTCTCGATAACTGCCTTAGGCCCGTAGCTCATGGCACTGCTCGGCAGTCCCAGACTTTGGTAGAATTCATCGGACATTTCAAACATTTTGGTAGCGTTGAAGCCAAGCTGCTGCATCTTAGCGGTAACATCCACCAGGCTAGCCTCCGGGAAGGGTTTAGTGCGATCATATAGATTCACCCACGACTGTGCCCACATGTTGCCGAGGATGTGTGCTGGGATCATCTTGTTGTTCTTGTCCATGTGGTCTCCTGGAATGCAGAATAATAATAAATTTGACGAGATGTTTTAGGATCTTAGAAAATGAAGGCTTACCATACAAGTCCAACAGCTTGTACCTCACGTAGGTATGCAGTTCATTGTACAGTGGTTCAACTTCTTTCCACAATCGTTCCAGAGTTCCTCGGAGATCTGCGTCATCGTATCGAGCCCGCCACATTTCGCCATAGTCACCATATCCATTGAGCTTCGCTGCTTGATTGACGTAGTCCACGTACAGCTTGTAGTCCTGTCGCATCTTCGTGCCGGATTCCTCACGCCAGCGTCTCCAGGTATACGACAACTCTTCGTAGTCCGTGGACGTAGCCATGACGTGTTCCATCTCCGGATCCAGTGTCCATTTCTGAGAACTCACGGAGCAGCTCTGATCATTGTAGGGACAAATCTCCACCAGCTGGTAGGCTGCATCCATACGCCTCATGATCTTGTTGTATTCCTCCAGATCATTCGTCGGTAGTGCTGCTGTTCCCAAGTCCTTCAGCAAGGTCAATTGCTTACGTACCTTTGGGTCCTGATAGCCATCTACCTCGGCATCCTTAAAGTACCGCTCGTAGAAATCGGTCCGGAACTTGGCGTACTCCAGGGAGATTGTATTCTATCGAAAGCATAAACGAAAAACTAATAAATCATTTCGTACAACTTTAATCCGTCAGCTCTTTCTTTCGTTTTTTCGACAACAACAAAAAAACGGTACGACGAATGATGCCACTTATTGCCCATAAAAATTTAAATGGGTAAAACCCACATCCTCATTGACGTCAATCGTACCTGTTGCACTTGGTAGTCAGCGTTCTCGGTGTTGGTGGCCACGTTCCAGTTGGCTTGAACCTGTCGGTTACAGTAGCTGCGTACTTCGGTGTCATACTGCTGCAGCACGGCCTTCATCTGTTCCTCATTGAGAACATCGCTTTTGACCACTACCTGCGGGTGGGAGGATGCCAAGGTTGAAAGGCATGCCACCAGTAGTGTTGGGAGGAGTATCTACAACAAGGACAAAAACAAAAATTATTTACAACTGCTTGTTAATAATACAAGTGGTGATTTGCCATTAAAAGATGATAAGCTGGACTGATAAGCTAGAAATGTGTCAATTGTTTGTCCGATTCTCTTGACCCGTTATGTCTAGACCAATACAAGTGAAATACTTCGGCATCAAGCAGCTCCAACAGAGTCACCAAAGTTACAAAATGAATCGAAGATATGCTGCCGATGACACAATCTTTGTTCAAAACAAAAATGGTTATAACTTCCTTAATAGCTTGACTGAGACAATCAAGTCACCGGGAGTAGTGCTGTGATGAGTATCATTAAACTCTATTTATAGAATAGGTGCAAAACAAACAAGCACCATTCTACAGCCATGCAAATTACAAGCTAGACACCGAAGGCCATAAGCCATTATCATTTCAGCTATATTCATTTTACAGCACTTTTCCTCCTACTTGATGTATCATGTTATCACAAGCAATCCCCAAACAATGCCCACATTGCGCGCCATCAATTAAGGGCAATGTCAATCGTATGCATCGGTTCAACAACTGCAGCTAGCAACGGCTGGGTGCACTTTTTCACATTTACTCAAGTATCGATCGTATGAGCCAAGTGAAGAGGAAAATTCAGCCACCCGCACTTCACAAAACACCCCCACCGATGGTAGACAAATCAGTAGCTTGTGGCTATTTGACTATTCTTACAGCAAAGATATGTTTAAAAATCACTAGTTGGTTTGTTTGTGTATATTTAAATGACTGTCAAATGCTTCATTAAATCTTTTAAAGGTTGAACACGAAAATTCCGAACACATTAAAAACACTGCCATTATGGCATTTTTGGAGTAAATTTTTTCAAAATTTCCCTTAATCAAACTTAGAGTGTATAGAATCACAGTAGGCATTGGTTGTCAGGATAGGTTCATTTGTTTACATCATGGCTTCACCGGAGCAAGCACGTCGCGATTTGATCCTGCACGCTCGAAATGAAAATCCCTTTCCATCCACTCCTGACAGTTTTTGATCGAATTCCTGAGCTGGAATTTTATACCCCGGAAAAATTTAAAATCAAATAGAAGACGAAATTCCCCAAAAAGTTGCTTGTCTGGCAAGCAATTTGCAGTTGTCGGCTGAAAAGCGAAACTTTCGTTGCTACTAGGACCATGAACCAGCAAATTTACCAGGAGGAGCGGCTACGGAAGAGATTGCTGCCTTTTCAGGAGCAGCATGAGGTGTATTGTCTATTCTGGCCCGATTTGGCAAGCTGTCACTATTCAAATGTAACCAAACAGTACTCCGGAAATTTTGTTTTTTGATAAATTTGCTTCCAAGGTAGTTCAGAGTAAATAGGGCTTAGTATAAGAAAGAAGCGGACTGGCTAATGTTGAGTCAAACGAACTTTTAAAGCCAGATCCAACTGAGCAGCGCCTATCTTGATTGCATTGGCAGTGTTGCTAGGCACTGCAAATATGCTTTGGTCAAGTTTCGATTGACCTGGCCTGGCGACAGTTTGGCGGATTCATCTCCTTAGGTACAAATTGGACCTTGTTGGCTTTATACCAGGCTACCGTGTTCTTGGAGTAATGAACCGACGCCAAATTCGGCCAAAACAGTACTGAGGCGTCGTGTTTGCGGATCATGGGTAACAGACGCTTGGTTAAGCACTCACGCACGTAAACATCGGTTGTCATTGTTTCCGTTGTCACAAACGGTTTGGAAAGCATACCACACTCACATACCTTTTTACCGAATTTTTCGGTAAAAATCGACTTATCCGCGTCGTCAACACTTCAGCCATCACGAACGGTGTAGAACTGATCACCAGTAATCAAATTTAACGTATGATTCATCGTCCATTATCACGCGCACTGATTCTCCGCACAGCAGTCAGGCTTCTTTTGCTTATTAGGTATACGTCCTTGGATCCTTGCTTTGGCCCGCTGGGCGTTACTCTTCGAGGATCCCACTTTTTTAGCTACGTCTCGAACCGAAGCACTTTTCTTGCGAGTGAAAGCTTGCACGATTTTCCGGTCCAGATTTCGGTCAACAGGGTTCGGTTTACGTCCAGATTTTGCTTGTCCTGGAAAGTTGCTTCCTCGTCATAATCAGCATTGCCAGATTGTTTTCATGATTATCGGTATCAAATGATTAAAAAATCGGTATTTATCGGTATTCGCTTTTTTTTTGACTAAAATTGAAAGATGTACTTTCTATGTAAGTTGGAAGAAACTTCTGGGAAATATTTGAATTCGTATCTTAATGGTACCAACAAAACTTCCAAAGGAAGAATAAAGAAGATCTTGTGGAGGAAGTTTGAAGGAAGTTCTAAAAAATGTCTAACAAACATTCAATGGGGATCTTCTAAGACAAATATTAAGAAACTTCTGGTAACATTTTTTAGAAACTTTCGGAAAAAAATCCAGAAGCCAGAAAAGTTTGGAAATTGAAAGCCAATCCCGGAGGAGCCATTTTTATTTTATTTATTTATTTTTATTTATTTATTTTTTTTTCGGCAAGGGGAAAAGCCAAGATGGAAACATTTAATAATTCCTTATGTTTCAATCTCGGTCGTAAAAACCCCTTTCAAAAGATTTGTACAAAATTTCATTAACAATAGTTTACAATTCTTGGTTTCTTCCCCTAACTAATTCATTAAAATGCATACAAAATAGTTACAATGAACCATTGGCAGTCTAGAGACTGATTGGGAGGTTCTTTTTCGATATTCAACTGTGCAAATGAGAGTTAATTATATTGATTGGTATATAGAAAAAAATAAAAAATAGCTTTTTAGTCTAGACAATATTTTCTGTGACGTACCTTTTCAAGGCCTTTTTGAATGTATAAATCGAAGGGATATTTTTAAGATCCATTGGCAAATTATTGAAATTAACTATAGCGGGATAAATACAACCAAATCGAATATAGTTGGTTCTAGGGATTGTAACTCGAATATTGTTACATTTCGCGTATCATATCGGTGTGTATCACTTAGTGTTTGAAAATCTACATTATGTTTGATCAAGTTATTTTTTACTTTGAATATGCATAGAACCGATTCATAATATTTAATTTGGCTTAAATTCAACACGTTATTATTAGTATACAAATCAATAGTTCTTACATTCGGGTCTAAATATTGTTCCCAGAAAATAGTTCTCATGAATTTGTTCAAAGTTGTAGATATTTTGCTTGTAACATAAGTAGGTGCATTTTGCCAAATTATATTTAAGTAGCAAATTTGTGAATGAACATGGGCATAGAACAGATTTTTTTTTTCTTTCATAGGGGAAGTTAGAAGAAGCTCTGAAAAACCTTCCAATAAGGCAGAAAAAACCTACAGAGAAGCTTCCAGAGGAAGACGAAATAAATTTCTGGGAGAACTCGATAGATACATCCGGTAGAACTTTTATTGAACTTCTTGGAGAAGACGCAAGAAATTTCCAGGAGACACTGGGAGAATCTTCCTAAGGTAGATTGGATGAAAATTCTGGAAAAAGTCGGACGCCAGAGGACTTACGGAACAGTCGACTACTTCAAGGAGGAGAGGGGAAAATATCTGGAAGAAATAGATTTCTGTGGGATGTTAGCGCAATATTCTCTGAAGTTCCTCACATGTTCTATTGTACTTCGGAATATCTCATACTCGGAACTCCTTGAAAGTTCGTAAATTTAATGGGGCTGTTTCGAAGTTCTTTGATCATCATCGAAGTACTCATAGCTTCCTTGATTATTATGGAACTACTGTTCTTGCAATTTTCTAATGTTCACATAACTACCAAAATTTTCATGAACCTCTCGGTTCTTAACTGAAGTTTTCGGAACTTATTTAAAGGTTCAGAAATTTCCTTGAATTTATTTGTAATAATGCTTCCCTAAAGTTATCTCAATTATCCTGAAACAAATGGAACTATCCTGAAAACCATTAAATTTCTTTGAAGTTCTTTGGACTTGTGAAGTTTCCAAAATATTTCAGTTTCCTTAAGTTCATTGGAGTTCTCTGGGCTTTCCTGAGATTTCCGGGTTCTTAAATTTGAACAGAAGTTCATGAAACTGTCTTTAATTTATCTAAACCTACCCAAAAGTCCGAACTATTCTGAAGTTTCAGAACTTCTGAAAAGTTCCTGAAATTTTCCTGCAACTAATGGAACCGCAATAAAACTCTGGAAGCATTTCTGAAGTTCCGGAGAAGTTGAAAAAACTGACGGGAGGAGACGGAATAACCTTTCGAGTGAAGCCAGAAAAAGCTTCCAAGGGAAGTCGAAATAGCTTTCCAGAAGTAATCGGAAAATAATTTACAGCGTAAGGTGGACGGAAATTCCTAGGGAAAGTTGGTAGAAACTTCGAAGGAAAGATTAAAGAAATTTAAAGGAAGTTCAAAAATTAACGTTTTTATGGACTACTGAATAAAGTATTTCTCGATGTCCAGAAATTGCTGGGATGGAGCCATCAGCTGTTTCTTGACTCTTTGGTTACAAAAAACGGCGAGGAAATGGAAGCATTAGTCGAAAAAGTATAAAGCATAAGACATTTTTGAAGATGATTTTTTTTAGAGCAGTCTCAAAAATTGTAATTTTCAAAAAGATAAAAGTCTCTCACAATAGTTTCCTCTGAATATTCAGTGCGGGTAGGCAGTAATCATTTCGATTATTAATAAAAAAAAAATCGGTATAAATCGGTATAAATCGGTATTGTAGCTCAAAAATCGGTATTCTGAGAAACCTTATCTGTATATCGGTATCAAGTTTGAAAATCGGTATAAATACCGATAAATCGGTATGTCGCTGGTCATAATTCAGAATCGCGTTTCGAACGGCTCCGATGCTTACACCTTCCAATTTCGCTAATTTACTCAGCAAAATATTGAAGATAGTACACCATTTGTGCACGATCTGTTCGCGCTTTTCTGGAGAAATACTTCTCATTGTCACGGATATGTAAAGAGCCGACACTTGCGATACACGAAACTGTTGGTCGAAATGTAAACAATGA